AATAGAAAATCTTTTTTTTTTTTTAGGGCTGGGTTGTGCTCGGGGCGGGGGGACTTCCTACTTCCCCGCGCGGCCCCTCCTGCTCCAAAGACCCCGACCTGTTAGGGGAGTCCCTGCCCCGGGGAGGGGCGCCGGGGGCCGCGGTAAGACACAGTGATGTACAAGCGCATGCGCCGCCTGCTCCTGTCGCGGGACACCCGGTCTGAGCGTCTCCTGGGAGGCCCCGACCCACTCATCGCTTTACAGGCGGGGAGACTGAGGCTGCGGAGGGGAAGGTCTCGCCTAAGGACACACAGCGACGTGGGACCAGGAAGGGGCTGGACCTCGACCCCCAGAGTCTCGTCGCTTTTTGCAGCCAATCCAGTTCACTCCGCGTGTCGCGGGCCACCCTTTGAGTCTAACTGTCGCGCGTGGGTGAGTGTCGCAGCGGTCTGCGCCTCGGATGCGCGGTGCCCATACGGGTGTATCTGTGTCTCGGCGTGTCTGCGAGCAGCACGTGTGCCGGAGAGTGGGTGTGCGCGCCGTGCCGCCGGGGAGCGGGAGGAGGCGGCGCGGCGGGCTCCGGGGTGTGCGCGGGACCTGTTGTCAGCAGGCCTGGCAGATGGGAACTTAGCTCCGGAATTCATGGCCTGTTTGTCTCGGGCTGGGAGGTCGCTCCCTTTCCCCGGCAACCAGTTGCTTTCGCCCCAGCCAGGTCCTAAGTGTCGCCGCCATCCGGGGCCGCAGCCCGGAACCCCTAGTGGAGCTAAGCGGGCGCGGTGGCCCGGCTCCCGTGACGCGAGCGCCCCCTGCCGGCCGCCGCGCACACAGGCTCCGAGGCTCCGGAGACCCCGCGCCACGCGTCCGGGGCGGGTGTGCACCGCGGGGATCCGCAGGACCTGAGACAGAGCAGAAGACCCCCGCCTGCGGCTCCCCGCGCACACGGTGAGACCTTTGCACAGACTGGAGCCGTCTCCCGCCTCTCCAGAGCCGGTCAAAGCAACCCTTCCTTGACTTGGGCCGTTCTCCCCGCCCACGCACACACTCCCCAAGAAAGTGGGGCCGATGATCCACTCCTGGCTTTCCGGGTCGTTCATAACCTGAGGGGTCTGCGAAAGCGGTGAGCGGGGTGAGGAATCCCCACTCTCTGTGCGATCTCGAATCCTCCAACCCCTTCCCACCCAGCCCGGGAGCTGGAAGCTCTTCTTCCCTATCTCATCGCAGCTGGGAAAAGGAAAGCAGGCGTCAGACCACATCGGGACGTGGGTGCCCTCAGACACCACCCCCACCCACCACCCTCCAATCTGTCCTGGGGACTCCGCACTTTAGGGTCCTGGTTCCCGGAGACGCCTAGGGAGCCCAGTGACCCTGTGCTCCCCACCCGCGCACGATCCAGGGAGGTGGGACCAGCGATCTCTGCGTCCCCACTCTAAGACCCGGATCCTGCCGCCAGCAGCGGCCTTTTCTGCCCCTGCCCCTACCCCTCCAAGAGTGCCACGACTCCCCGCGGGCTGGAAGATCCCGGCCGGCCGCCTGGCGCGACCAATTTACTTTCCGAGTCCAGAACCGGGAGAGAGGGGCGCTCTGCCAGAACACAAACTCACACCGGACCTGGCGCTCCTACCGTGCGCGCGTGCGTGAGGTCCGCCGGGCTGTGGGGCCGCGGGGAAGTCAAGCAGGGAGAGAGAGTCCTTGGGAGTTAAGGACGGTGTCAAGGACACTGCCCAGGGCAGATGAGCCTTGAACAGGAGCTGGAAGGTAGGCACACAAGGCAAGGAGAAGCCTTGCAGAGGCGCGGGCGCGCACATTACCGCCCGGCTAGGGTGCTAGAGCTGGGCCTGCCGGTCCGTGTGCTCTGCCCCTGCATCCGTCTACACTGCCCTGGGAAGGACCTCGCCGAGTCTCCCACGCCCGACTCCACCGCGTGCCAGAAGACCCTCCTGCTCGCTGGGTCCCTCCCCTGACTCCCCCCAGTGGCAACGGGAGGACATTGTCTCAACCTGACTCAGTCCAGAGAGCCCTGCGCTTCCATTTGTCTCCAACAGGCTCGTCATAAACACGTTATCTGCGGACCACAGAGCCCGCAATTACCACCTGCCCAGCCCCCACCCAAGCTTCCAGCCAGGAGAGAAGCCGGTAGGAGGTGCCCCTCCTCCAGCCCCCATGGCCACCCCTGGCCTGAAACATAGATTAGGGCAAGTTATAAAGGGAGCCAGAGACACTCCCCACCCCTTCTCCCTGTCCCTACTCAGCCGCCTCCTCCGAGCTCCTGAAGCCTGAGGTCGGGGGAAGCTAGGCTCCAGGAGGACACCCTGGGCACCTCCCATCTTCCTCCGTCCCCCACTGGCAGGGGACTGGGGAAGACTGTCCTGTTCTCTTTCCCCCTCCTGTCTCCTCCAAGAACCTGAGCCTTGGGGGGGGG